CCCCCCCACCCACTTTACCTGCGCCACGGTGTCCCGCAAGGTGGGCGACCGCCCCCGGCGAGTGGTGGTGGTGGCCATAGTGGTGGTGGTCTCCATAATAGTAGTGGCCATATCTGGGGGGGCGGCGGTAGCCGGGCCGGGTGGGGCGGCGGGGGGGGGTGGTGGATCCCCCACCAAACGAAGATCACCTTCAGCTCGCACCCTTGGGTGCCCTTCGGCCGCCAACGCCAACACCTTCAAGCCGTTGTAGTACAAACCCGAAAGCTGACCTTGGAACGGCCGACCCCGATCACGGCCCCCAACCCGAACGGCTGCCTGGCTGTTGAAGATGGTGAGCTGTCGGCCTGTGGGGTGGGGGGGGGAAAGGTAAAAAAGGGGTTGGGGGGAGGTAGGGGGGGTGAGGGAGACCCGAAAAACCCAAAGCGAGAAGCGAAAAGGGGATGGGAAGGAGGGGGGGTTGGAAAGAGCGCGTCACGAAACTAAAGTGGGGATGGGGTTGAGGGAAGCCTAAAGAGGGCTCGCTGATCCCAAAATGGGCCCCAAAGTGGGGGGGGGAAAGAGGGAATCCCAAATAGGGCTCGCTGACCCCAAAATGTGCCCCAAAATGGGGGTGGGAAAGAGGGAACCCTAAATAGGGCTCGCTGATCCCAAAATGGTAATGGGACAGAGGGAATCCCAAATAGTGCATCACGACCCCAAAATGGTGATGGGAAAGAGGGAATCCTAAATAGGGCTCGCTGACCCCAAAATGTGCCCCAAAATGGTGATGGGAAAGAGGGAATCCGAAATAGGGCTCGCTGATCCCAAAATGTGCCCAAAAACGGGGGTGGGAAAGAGGGAAACCCAAATAGTGCATCACGACCCCAAAATGTGCCCCAAAATGGAGACGGGATGATGGGAATCCTAAATAGTGCATCACGACCCCAAAATGGTGATGGGACGGAGGGAATCCTAAATAGGGCTCGCTGACCCCAAAATGTGCCCCAAAATGGTGGCGGGACAGAGGGAATCCCAAATAGAGCATCACGACCCCAAAATGTGCCCCAAAATGGAGACAGGATGATGGGAATCCCAAATAGTGCATCATGACCCCAAAATGGTAATGGGACAGAGGGAATCCCAAATAGTGCATCACGACCCCAAAATGTGCCCCAAAATGGGGGTGGGAAAGAGGGAATCCTAAATAGGGCTCGCTGACCCCAAAACGTGCCCCAAAATGGGGATGGGATGATGGGAATCCTAAATAGTGCATCATGACCCCAAAATGGTAATGGGACAGAGGGAATCCTAAATAGGGCTCACTGACCCCAAAATGGGCCCCAAAATGGTGGTGGGAAAGAGGGAAACCCAAATAGGGCATCACGACCCCAAAATGTGCCCCAAAATGGGGGTGGGAAAGAGGGAACCCTAAATAGGGCTCGCTGACCCCAAAATGTGCCCCAAAATGGGGGTGGGACAGAGGGAATCTGAAATAGGGCTTGCTGATCCTAAAATGTGCCCCAAAATGGGGGTGGGAAAGAGGGAATCCCAAATAGTGCACCATGACCCCAAAATGTGCCCCAAAATGGACATGGGATGATGGGAACCCTAAATAGTGCATCATGACCCCAAAATGGTAATGGGACAGAGGGAATCCTAAATAGGGCTCACTGACCCCAAAATGTGCCCCAAAATGGAGACGGGATGATGGGAATCCTAAATAGTGCATCACGACCCCAAAATGGAGATGGGACAGAGGGAATCCTAAATAGGACTCGCTGACCCCAAAATATGCCCCAAAATGGAGACAGGATGATGGGAATCCCAAATAGTGCATCACGACCCCAAAATGTGCCCCAAAATGGGGGTGGGACAGAGGGAATCTGAAATAGGGCTCGCTGATCCCAAAATGTGCCCCAAAATGGGGGTGGAAAGAGGGAACCCTAAATAGGGCTCGCTGATCCCAAAATGTGCCCCAAAATGGGGATGGGACAGAGGGAATCCCAAATAGTGCACCATCACCCCAAAATGTGCCCCAAAATGGAGACGGGATGATGGGAATCCTAAATAGTGCATCACGACCCCAAAATGGTGATGGGACGGAGGGAATCCTAAATAGGGCATCACGACCCCAAAATGTGCCCCAAAATGGTGATGGGAAAGAGGGAATCCTAAATAGGGCTCGCTGACCCCAAAATGTGCCCCAAAATGGGGATGGGACAGAGGGAATCCCAAATAGACCTCACTGATCCCAAAATGTGCCCCAAAACTGTGATGGGACAGAGGGAATCCCAAATAGTGCATCATGACCCCAAAATGTGCCCCAAAATGGAGACGGGATGATGGGAATCCTAAATAGTGCATCACGACCCCAAAATGGTAATGGGACAGAGGGAATCCTAAAAAGGGCTCGCTGACCCCAAAATGTGCCCCAAAATGGGGATGGGAAAGAGGGAATCCCAAATAGTGCATCATGACCCCAAAATGGTGATGGGAAAGAGGGAATCCCAAATAGTGCATCATGACCCCAAAATGGGGATGGGAAAGAGGGAATCCTAAATAGGGCTCGCTGACCCCAAAATGTGCCCCAAAATGGTGGCGGGACAGAGGGAATCCCAAATGAGTGAATCACGACCCCAAAATGGTGATGGGAAAGAGGGAATCCCAAATAGTGCATCACGACCCCAAAATGGGGATAGGAGAGAGGGAATCCTAAATAGGGCTTGCTGATCCCAAAATGGTAATGGGAAAGAGGGAATCACAAATAGTGCATCATGACCCCAAAATGTGCCCCAAAATGGAGACGGGATGATGGGAATCCTAAATAGTGCATCATGACCCCAGAATGGTAATGGGACAGAGGGAATCCTAAATAGGGCTCGCTGACCCCAAAATGTGCCCCAAAATGGGGGTGGGAAAGAGGGAATCCTAAATAGGGCTCGCTGACCCCAAAATGTGCCCCAAAATGGGGATGGGAGAGAGGGAATCCTAAATAGGGCTCGCTGACCCCAAAATGTGCCCCAAAATGGAGACAGGATGATGGGAATCCTAAATAGTGCATCATGACCCCAAAATGTGCCCAAAAATGGAGACGGGATGATGGGAATCCTAAATAGTGCATCATGACCCCAAAATGGTGACAGGACGGAGGGAATCCTAAATAGGGCTCGCTGATCCCAAAATGTGCCCTAAAATGGAGACGGGACAGAGGGAATCCCAAATAGTGCATCACGACCCCAAAATGGTGATGGGAGAGAGGGAATCCTAAATAGGGCTCGCTGACCCCAAAATGTGCCCCAAAATGGTGATGGGACAGAGGGAATCCTAAATAGGGCTCGCTGATCCCAAAATGTGCCCCAAAATGGAGACGGGATGATGAGAATCCTAAATAGTGCTCATTGATCCCAAAATGTGCCCCAAAATGGTGATGGGACAGAGGGAATCCTAAATAGTGCATCATGACCCCAAAATGGTGATGGGAGAGAGGGAATCCTAAATAGGGCTCGCTGACCCCAAAATGTGCCCCAAAATGGGGATGGGAAAGAGGGAATCCCAAACTGTGCTCACTGACCCCAAAATTGGCCCCAAAAGAGTGATGGGAAAATGGGAATCCCAAAAGTGCACCATGATCCTAAAATGTGCCCCCAAATGGAGGTGGGATGATGGGAACCTCCAGTGTTGCACCACGGCCCCAAAAACCCCAAATTCTGCCCCAAAACAGTGATGGGATAAAGGGAATCCCAAACTGTGCTCACTGACCCCAAAATTAGCCCTAAAATGGGGATGGGAAAATGGGAATCCCAAATAGTGCATCACAGCCCCCAAAATCCCAAATTCTGCCCCAAAACAGTGATGGGATAAAGGGAATCCCAAATAGCGCTCACTGACCCCAAAATGGACCCCAAAAGAGTGATGGGAACATGGGAATCCCAAAAGTGCACCATGATCCTAAAATGTGCCCTCAAATGGAGATGGGAAAATGGGAATCCCAAATAGTGCACCATGATCCCAAAACTGTGCCCCAAAACAGTGATGGGAAAATGGGAACCTCCAGTGTTGCACCATGGCCCCAAAAACCCCAAATTCTGCCCCAAAACAGCAATGGGATAAAGGGAATCCCAAACTGTGCTCACTGACCCCAAAATTGACCCTAAAATGGGGATGGGATGATGGGAATCCCAAAAACGCACCACGATCCCAAAACTGTGCCCCAAAACAGTGATGGGAAAATAGGAATCCCCAGTGTTGCACCACGGCCCCAAAAACCCCAAATTCTGCCCCAAAACAGTGATGGGAAAATGGGAATCCTAAATAGTGCATCACGGCCCCAAAAATCCCAAATTCTGCCCCAAAACGGCGACAGGAAAAACGGGAATCCCAAAAAGTTGCGGCCCGGCCCCAAAATGGCGGCGTTGTGCCCCAAAATGGCGGCGGTGCTGCTGGTGCTCCTCGCACGAGGGCTCATTTTGGGCTGAGATTGGGCACTTTTGGGGTCACGGAGTCCGGCCCTACCTGACTTGGGGGGGGGGTTGGGGGCCCACGCGGAGCCGTCGTGCAAAACACCACCCTCGTGCAAAACGCCATCCTCGTGCAAAAGGCCATCCTTGTGCAAACGCATCCTTTCGCAAACACAACCCTCGTGCAAATGTCACCCTTGCGCAAATGCCGTCCTCGTGCCAACACCATCCTTGCACAAACGCCATCCTTGCACAAACGCCATCCTCGTGCAAACGCCATCCTCACGCAAACACCACCGTCAAACACCACCCTCGTGCAAACACTACCCTCACACAAACACCATCTTTGTGCCAACACCATCCTTGCACAAACACCATCCTCGTGCCAGCACCATCCTTGCACAAACACCGTTCTCGTGCAAACAACATCCTTGCACAAACGCCGCCCTTGTGCAAACACCATCCTTGCGCAAACACCATCCTCGTGCAAACACCATCCTCACACAAACACCGCCCTCGTGCAAACCACATCCTCACGCAAACACCGCCCTCGTGCAAACACCATCCGTGCACAAGCGCCGCCCTTGCACACACTGCTGTGCACACACGATTTCAATCAATCCTTGTGCACCACACGGATGCATGCTTTGTGCACACACTTGCACGCACAGCGCACTCGCACGCTTTTCCTCGTGTGCAATAGCCTCGTGCACACGCCATCCTCGTGCGCGCAAAAACAGTGAGCTCGCCGTTCTTGTGCACACTCACCCTCATGCTTGCACGATGCGCACACTCACACCGCTCTCAGCTTTGTGCTCTCGCGCTCCTTGCACGCCTGCGCACACTTGTGCCACTCACCCGCGCCATGACCCTCGTGTCCCTTGCACGCGCCTCATCCTCGCACACCGCGTGCTCACACCCGTGCACTCACACACTCGTGCTCCCGGCACACTTGCGCACACTCACGCACTTGTGTCCTCGCACACACGGGCACTCACACGCTCGTGCCACCCACCTGCGCTCTCAGCCCTCCGCTCCTCACGCGCTCGTGCCGCTCTCACCCTCGTGCTCCTCGCACGCTCGTGCGCTCACACTCGTGTGCTTTGGGCAGGGGGCGGGGTTATGGGGTTTTAGCGGATTTATGGGGTTTTACAGCGCGGTTGGGGGGGGGTCCCTATAACTGGGGAAAGGGGGGGGAGGGGGGGGGGCCGGGCGGTGGGGACACCGTGGGGACACGGGGTGAGACCGGGTCATGTGACACCGGGACACGGGACGCTGAGGTCACGTGACACCGGGGTGACAGGCGGTGGGGGCGTGGGTGGGTCATGTGACATGGAGGCCACGTGACGCCACGTGTGATTTTTGTCCTCGACACTCGGACCGGGTGACAACCGGACCGGGTGACAACCAGGTCAGGTGACAACATGGCCAGGTGACACCTGGACCGGGTGACAACGTGGTCAGGTGACAACACGGCCAGGTGACAACTGGACCGTGTGACAACGTGGTCAGGTGACAACACGGCCAGGTGACAACCAGACTGTGTGACAACGTGGTCAGGTGACAACACGGCCAGGTGACAACTGGACCGTGTCACACCCAGGTCAGGTGACAACATGGCCAGGTGACAACCGGAGTGTGTGACACCCTGGTCAGGTGACAACACGGCCAGGTGACAACCAGACTGTGTGACAACGTGGTCAGGTGACAACACGGCCAGGTGACAACCAGACTGAATGACACCGGGCCCGGGTGACAACTTGAGCAGGTGACACCCGGATCATGTGACATCCAAGCCAGGTGAAACCAGGGCCAGGTGACACCCAGACTGAGTCATACTGGGACCAGGTGACAACACGACCAGGTGACACCCAGAATGAATGACACCAGGACTGGGTGACACCCAGTCCAGGTGACACCCAAGCCAGGTGACAACATGGTCAGGTGACAGCCGGACCAAGTGACACTCAGATCAGGTGACACCCAGTCCAGGTGACACCAGGGCAAGGTGACAACCTGGCAAGGTGACACCAGGGCCTGGTGACACCCGGACTGAGTGACACCGGGACTGGGTGACACCGGGACCGGGTGACAACCAGGTGACACCGCATCCAGGTGACACCACCCAAGTCACGTGACATCCGAGTGACACCGCCTCCAGTTGACACCTCCTACAGGCGACACCCGCACCGCGTGTCACCGGAACCACGTGACACCCACATCACATGACACCCAGACCACGTGACACCCAGCCCACGTGACACCCTGACCACATGACACCCTGACCACGTCGACGCCCTGACCACGTTGACGCCACGTCCCTACACCACGTGACACCGGGGGTCACGGGACAACCAGGTCACGTGACCCCGTGTCCCAGCCGTGTCCCCAGCCCGGGCTCATTGGGGCTCGTTAGGGCGACGCTAACGAGTTACCTTTGTCGAGTAGCCACTCATCGACTACCCGACCGAGCCGGTAGGGGATTCGCTGCCTGGCAATCGCCAGCCTCTCGCTATCCGCGCTGCCTTGAAGAGGAGAAGAGGGTTAGGGGCGATGGGGGGGGGTGGGGAGAAGGGGGGGACGGGGACAGCGGGGGCAACGGCAGGGGGGGTCGGGGGGGTGGTGGCACCAGGAGTGTCGGTGTGACGCCAGTATGGTGAGTGTTGGTGTCATGGTGGTGTCAGGTGGCACCAGGAGTGGCGGTGTGACACCAGTATGGTGAGTCAAGGTGATGTCAGGTGGCACCAGGAGTGGCGGTGTGACACCACTATGGTGAGTCAAGGTGATGTCAGGTGGCACCAGGAGTGTCGGTGTGACACCACTATGGTGACAGTGATGGTGTCAACAGGTGGCATCAGGAGTGTTGGTGTGACACCACTATGGTGACAGCGATGGTGTCAAGGTGATGTCAGGTGGCACCAGGAGTGGCGGTGTGACACTACCATGGTGAGTGTTGGTGTCAAGGTGATGTCAGGTGCACCAGGAGTGGCGGTGTGACACCACTATGGTGACAGTGATGGTGTCAACAGGTGGCATCAGGAGTGTTGGTGTGACACCACTATGGTGACAGTGTTGGTGTCAAGGTGATGTCAGGTGCACCAGGAGTGTCAGTTTGACACCACTATGGTGACAGTGATGGTGTCATGGTGATGTGAGGTGCACCAGGAGTGTGACGCCACCATGGTGAGTGTTGGTGTCAAAGTGATGTCAGGTGGCACCAGGAGTGTCAGTGTGACACTACCATGGTGAGTGTTGGTGTCATGGTGGTGTCAGGTGGCACCAGGAGTGGCGGTGTGACACCACTATGGTGAGTCAAGGTGATGTCAGGTGGCACCAGGAGTGGCGGTGTGACACCACTATGGTGACAGTGTTGGTGTCAAGGTGATGTCAGGTGGCACCAGGAGTGTCGGTGTGACACCAGAATGGTGACAGTGATGGTGTTAACAGGTGGCACCAGGAGTGGCGGTGTGACACCACTATGGTGACAGTGATGGTGTCAAAGTGATGTCAGGTGGCACCAGGAGCGTCGGTGTGACACCACTATGGTGACAGTGTTGGTGTCAAGGTGATGTCAGGTGGCACCAGGAGTGTCGGTGTGACACCACTATGGTGACAGTGTTGGTGTCATGGTGATGTGAGGTGGCACCAGGAGTGGCGGTGTGACACTACCATGGTGAGTGTTGGTGTCAAGGTGATGTCAGGTGCACCAGGAGTGGCGGTGTGACACCACTATGGTGACAGTGTTGGTGTCAAGGTGATGTCAGGTGCACCAGGAGTGGCGGTGTGACACCACTATGGTGACAGTGATGGTGTCATGGTGATGTGAGGTAGCGATGTGGCGGTGTGACACCACTATGGTGAGTGTTGGTGTCAAAGTGATGTCAGGTGGCACCAGGAGTGTCGGTGTGACACCACTATGGTGAGTCAAGGTGATGTCAGGTGGCACCAGGAGTGGCGGTGTGACACCAGTATGGTGACAGCGCTGGTGTCAAGGTGATGTCAGGTGGCACCAGGAGTGTTGGTGTGACACCACTATGGTGACAGTGTTGGTGTCATGGTGATGTGAGGTGCACCAGGAGTGTGACGCCACCATGGTGAGTGTTGGTGTCACGGTGATGTCAGGTGGCACCAGGAGTGTTGGTGTGACACCACTATGGTGACAGCGATGGTGTCATGGTGATGTGAGGTGGCACCCGGAGTGGCGGTGTGACACCACTATGGTGACAGTGTTGGTGTCAAAGTGATGTGAGGTGCACCAGGAGTGTCGGTGTGACACCACTATGGTGGCAGTGCTGGTGTCATGGTGATGTCAGGTGGCACCAGGAGTGTCGGTGTGACACCACTATGGTGACAGCGATGGTGTCATGGTGATGTCAGGTGGCACCAGGAGTGTCGGTGTGACACCAATATGGTGACAGTGTTGGTGTCAAGGTGATGTGAGGTGCACCAGGAGTGTGACGCCACCATGGTGAGTGATGGTGTCAAGGTGATGTCAGGTGGCACCAGGAGTGTCAGTGTGACACTACCATGGTGAGTGTTGGTGTCAAGGTGATGTCAGGTGGCACCAGGAGTGGCGGTGTGACACCACTATGGTGAGTCAAGGTGATGTCAGGTGGCACCAGGAGTGTCAGTGTGACACCACTATGGTGACAGTGTTGGTGTCATGGTGATGTCAGGTGGCACCAGGAGTGGCGGTGTGACACCACTATGGTGACAGTGCTGGTGTCACGGTGATGTCAGGTGGCACCAGGAGTGTCGGTGTGACACCACCATGGTGACAGTGATGGTGTCAAAGTGATGTGAGGTGCACTAGCAATGTGTGACACCACTATGGTGACAGTGCTGGTGTCAAGGTGATGTCAGGTGGCACCAGGAATGTTGGTGTGACAACAAGACATGGCAGTGTCACCATCATGTCACCGTGACCTGACTGTGACTACACCACTGGTGTCATCGTGACAATAAGATGACACCATCGGTGTCACCATGACACCACCATCGGTGTCACCATCAGTGTCATCATGACAACACCATGACAACACCATGACACCACCATCGGTGTCACCATCGGTGTCACCATGACAACACCATGACAACACCATGACAACACCACGATACCACCATTGGTGTCACCATCGGTGTCACCATGACACCACCATCGGTGTCACCATCAGTGTCACCATGACAACACCACGACACCACCATTGGTGTCACCATTGGTGTCACCATGACAACACCATGACACCACCATCGGTGTCACCATGACAACACCAGGACAACACCATCAGTGTCACCATCGGTGTCACCATGACAACACCACGACACCACCATCAGTGTCACCATTGGTGTCACCATGACAACACCATGACAACACCATGACTCCACCAACGGTGTCACCATCGATGTCACCATCTGTGTCACCATGACAACACCATGACACCACCATCGGTGTCACCATCGGTGTCACCATGACAACACCATCAGTGTCACCATGACAACACCATGACAACACCACGACACCACCATCAGTGTCACCATCAGTGTCACCATGACAACACCATGACAACACCACCAGTGTCACCATCGGTGTCACCATCAGTGTCACCATGATACCACCATCGGTGTCACCATGACAACACCATGACAACACCACGACACCACCATCAGTGTCACCATCGGTGTCACCATGACAACACCATGACACCACCATCGGTGTCACCATCGGTGTCACCATGACAACACCATGACACCATCATCAGTGTCACCACTGGTGTCACCATGACAACACCATGACAACACCATGACTCCACCAACGGTGTCACCATCGATGTCACCATCAGTGTCACCATGACAACACCACGACAACACCATCGGTGTCACCATCAGTGTCACCATGACAACACCATGACAACACCATCAGTGTCACCATCGGTGTCACCATGACAACACCATGACAACACCATCGGTGTCACCATGACAACGCCATGACACCACCACTGGTGTCACCATCGGTGTCACCGTGACAACACCATGACACCACCATCGGTGTCACCATTGCTGTCACCATGACAACACCACGACACCACCATCGGTGTCACCATTGCTGTCACCATGACAACACCACGACACCACCATCAGTGTCACCATCGGTGTCACCATGGCAACACCATGACAACACCACGACACCACCACCAGTGTCACCATGACAACACCACGACACCACCACCAGTGTCACCACCACCCAACCACCCGCGCTGTCCCCGCGTCGTGGGGGGGGGAGGGAGGGGGGAGGGGTGGGGAGGATTTGGATTTGGGGGCGTTTATGCGGCCTTTAGGGGGGCGTTAGGGGGTCCTCGTTAGCGCGGGGGCCTCGTTAGCGCGGGGGCCTCATTAGCATCAGCACCTTCGTCAGGATGGGGGGGGGGTGGAGGGGGAAGGGTGTAGAGGGGGCTTGCAGGGCTGTAGGAATCTCTATAGGGCGATCTATGGGTGGGGGGATCTATAGGGTATGGGTGCTATAGGGGCCACGGAGGGGGGCTGTGTGGGTCTGGGGGTCTCCATAGGGCTGCGGTTGCTATAGGGAAGCTATAAGGTGTTGGGGGGAGGGGGGGGGACTATGGGTGCTGGGAGGGGTCACAGAGTGCTGGGAGGGCGGCTGTGGGGTGGCTGGTGTGTTCTATATGGGTGCTATAGGGTGTGCTCTGGGTGCTATGGGGCTCTATAGGTCTGCTCTGGGTGCTATAGGTGCTATAGGGTATGCTCTGGATGCTATAGGGCTCTATAGGTCTGCTCTGGGTGCTATAGGGCTCTATAGGGTATGCTCTGGGTGCTATAGGGTGCTATAGGGTGAGCTCTGGGTGCTATAGCTGCTATAGAGTATACTCTGGATGCTATAGGGCTCTATAGGTCTGCTCTGGGTGCTATGGGGCTCTATAGGCGTGCTCTGGGTGCTATAGGGCTCTATAGGTCTGCTCTGGGTGCTATAGGGCACTATAGGGTGTGCTCTGGGTGCTATAGGGAT